CTGTTCAAAGGGAGTTTTTCCTCTCCACTGTCGCTACAAGCATGCTTAGTGTGAGGGATTGCTGAAGAGTCAATGAGTCGATGCAATCAGCTAATTTCCCTTGGATAGAAAACTTTGAATCAATCTGACTGGATGATCTGGTGAACTGTCTCTGATAAAGTGCCTTGTAATGAGATGTGAGCTCAGGACGTTATATAACTGATAAAGTAGTGATCCTCTTTTAGCCTCACAAAAAAAACAAAAATGACGAGGGGCAGACAGCAGGTAAGTGATACTCATCATTCATTCCTTCACTTCACTCCTGAGGAGTGTCTAGTTAAGTGTTTACAGATACATCTGGTGATCCTGCATCAATGGCAGATAGGTGGTTACAAAGTAGCTTTAGTTTGTTTTTAAGTAAGGAAGTCAACCTCCAAACATCGGCTGAAGTATTATTTGGCCAGAGCCTAGCAGACCCCCACCTCTCTGGGGCTTTTCCCAACTGTTCATGGCGCCTGGAAGTAGATTGGCATTTTTCAGGTATGTTGTACAAACTGCAGGCACCCAGATAATGAAAGAGAACATCTTTAGCTGGCAGGTTTCAACATTTTTTAGTTAATTTAAGTATTAAACAAAGTGTATTTTCTGATTGGCTGTCGCCACTGTCACTCCTGAGAAGCTCACTTTAAAAACATCTGATGCACCACTGAATCTGGTCTCTGATTAGCTACCGTTATTAGAGCTGTAGGGCCACTTGTCTTTTTCTCTGCTTTCTGGTAGGTTTTGGAATCTGCAACAGTCTTGGCGGGACAGTATCCTCCTCTCCTTCTGTCTGCTGTGGCAGTTATGGGAGTGGAGCTGGGATGGATCTCTGCTGATTAGATGCTTTTCTATTCAGTAGGTTGTCTGGAAGATAAAAAAAATAATAATAATTTAAAGGAAACCTATGACAGGAACCCGGTGGATCAACAGGATGAAGGATGTTCCATCAAGGAGATCTGATTCTTGTTTTCTGAGTTTGTGAATATGGAAGAAGGTGTTTGGAGTTTAATAAACTGGGTCAAACCAAAAGAAATCCATTTCTAATCATGTATATATCGGCTAATGAGCTGAAAAACTGAAGCAGCAGCTTCTTGCAGTGATTAAAGCTGAGATCTCCCAGTGTTCCCATTAGAAAACATTTCTATTTATTCATGGTCTCGTGTTGCCAGCTCCGCTTTCTGATTCAGTTGGAAAATCTGTAGGTTTATTAATACGATTAAAGATGATTATCGAAAAAGTTCCTCCGCATTAGTAAATGTTGAGTTGAGTAAAAACTGGTGATAACGGTTCTGGTCTGTGTGTTCATGGCAAAGGTTCTGCAGGTGCTGGTGGAGGGCGTGGAGAGGGTGTCTCTGAAGACTGGGCCTGGGATAGACGGGGTCTCTGCCGTCGTTGGCTTCTCGTCCCATTTCACTGCATCAATGGCCAAGAAGGTTCTGGCAGCAGGTGAGCGACCGACGCCGGGTGGTAGCTGTATTCCAGATTTGAATGATATAATCTGGTTCCAACTACAGTATGAATGTGTTTGAGAGGAAAGCAAATGGAATCACCAACACAGAGTTCTGCCAGACAAGGGCAGAGAAAGGCTGAGGCGTCCCTCAGGGTTGATAGTTTGAAGCTTCAGACCCTCTGAGGTCTATCCACCACTAGATTCTGTAGATCAGATATTATTTCAGCTGTCATATAGTGTTTATGACACACTCCCTACTAGCTGTGTGTTAGAACAATAGATGAAAGAGTGATTGGAGCACTAATCATGGTCAAACAGTTAATTCTACACATACATGGAATAAATTCACCACAACTTCTGTTCAAAATATGAGTTTATTAACAAAAATCATTCAGCTCCAAGTCAAACAAATTTCAGTTTAACACTCTTAACTAATACTAGTAAAACTCAACTAAACTAAACTAAACTAACTACTATGTACAAAGAGGAAGGGAAGCATGGTTGAAAACCATATTACAGTTTAAGGTGGATTTTGTGATTTAGAACCAAAGTTTATCTTAAAAGAAGTTATTATGTGATCAAATTAGAAATTGCTTTTCAGACCAATTCACAAAGCAAATCCATGAGGTGAATAAAACATAATTTGGCCAAATAATGTTTTATTGAATGATTTGTTTAATCAGGAAACAATAATGTTTAGTTTATTGATTCTTTCATCAAAATCTAATGAGCATATTAGAAAACAGATTAATACTAATGTTATATCAGTTTTAAATTCAAACCCTTAGTGAAATAATGCTTGTTATAGCTTATAGAGAAAACAGCTAAAAATCAGTTAACACTGGAATGATCAAAGTCATCAAAAGACATATTGGTAACTAGAATCTGTCCCTAACTGTGTCAGACCTTATACCTCTGCCCATGTCTGTTATGAAAGTCTTCTCCAGCAGTTAGCAGCTTAGCTTGCAGGCTCAGTGAGTGAGTGAG